TCTGAATGCCGTGAACCCTTAATACAGTTCCTCATGTTGTGGTGACACCCAACCATAACATTATTTTCATTGCTATTTCATAGGGAAAGAATTTTAAAAAAAGGAAATAAAAAAATATGTAATGCAGACAAGCTGGAATGCTATACAATAGAAAAAAGTGATTCCTGGAAAAGTTATATATGTTGGCATAATGCTAATGAAACATTTGATTATGATTTTGGGCATCTTTCAATTTACGCAAATTGGGTTTTTGCAGTTGTCCATGCCTGTATATGTAAAATAGTCAGAAAGCTCTGGTCATAAGAGAGTACTTTGTTGCCTGCTCCCATTCTTGTTTTCTTTTTATTGATGTAATATCAAGATATATTTGGACATACTCTCTTATGTCCATCTTGATCATGAAGATACATTTCTTGCCTTGTAAGCAGAGGTGGCCCTAGGTAATTTTCAATAGTAAGCAAACAGTATTCCCCCCCCCCCCCCCCAACCAATTATTGATATATTTTTCTGTTCGTCATGGGAGTACTGTGTGCCATATTTGGGAGTACTGTGTGCCATCATTGGTGGAGTTCAGAATGCTTTTTGATTGTAGGTGAACTATACATCCCAGTAACTACAACTCGCATATGTCAAGGTCTATTTTCCTCCAAGAGCGCCTCAAGAGTGCCCTGGGCACAATCAACTATACTGCAAATGCTTACTTTGCGTAATAGGTTGCTGAGGCTCCCCCCGGACTGCTAGGGCTGTAGTGAGCCAAGGGAGCACTCCTCAAGTGGTGGTCGAGGGGCATTTACAGAGGTGCCTCTGCACCCCTGGCCAAAAAAAGTGTACTGCGACTGCTTACTTTGCGTAATGGATGAGCCACCCCTGCTTGTAAGGAATCCCCCCCCCCCAAAAAAAAATACATTGGCATTTATTTTTTGCATATGATATGGGGATGGGAGTAGCTGATGACACTATTGCTGTTAGCTAGATAGACACAGTTCTAGTTAGGAATAGTTTGCATGGATTTTCCTTTGAAAGTGCCTTAAACTCGAGTGAATGGTATGTTATACTTACTTTGTACAAGTTGCTATCTACATACAGATCTAGACATGTTCCAGTACTTCTGAACGTATATTTTTTGATTATTTATGAGATTGTGTCAAATAATTAATTAAAAAAATATTTAAGAAAAAAAGAAGAAAGAAATAGGAGACAAATGTTATATAGAATGTTAATCTATAAGGTTCATCTCAAAAAGGATTAATATGTAAAAGAAAACAATCCTCATGGTGGTGGGAACTATAAATGTTGTATATGTATTAAAATAAATATATATAATAATAATTTAAAAATGTAAAAAAAACCCTGTAATTTTACTACAGTTATGAATTGTAATGTAAATATCTGATATGCAGGATGGATTTTCATTCACTGGACCAAATTTGGCACCAGTACCCAATATGCCCAAATTTGAATACTAGGGGGGTTGGGGGGGAGGGTTGATTTTGTCATTTGGAGGTTGTAGTTGCTGAGATTTATAGTTCACCTACAATCAAAAAAGCATTCTGAACTCCACCAACAATGGAATTGAACCTATATTGACACACAATATTGCTTGAGAAACACTGGCCTAGAGAGGTCTGATCTCAAAGTGCTCCAGTGCAACTCTATAGCATCCTTCCACTCAAAGCCCTTTGCTGTTTTTGTGTATCCATGCAAAGTCCTGAAATGTTTCCCATGGATACAGGAAGTTGTACTGTTCTTTGAATCCAATGCAAAAAAGAAAGCTTTGGACAAAGTGGGGATATGTTTTGAAAAGGAAGGCTGAGAAGCACTGGTTTATGGGAAAATAATAATGTAAAATTTATCACTTAAGAAGAGCAGGCAAAACTCTTTTTGTAAAAAGGGTCGTTTTAATGGGCAAAGACCACCAAAGCAAAGAAGGTGACCCCAGTCATGGGATCGTATATATGGGGGGTTGAAGTGAAGGCAAAGCAACAATAGATTGTCATATTAACCCAAAGCAAGATCCAGAAAAGATGGGCAGAAAGGACTCATTTGAAAAGACACAAATCAGGAGTGAGTGGTTAACTCTGTGAGTGCAGCAGGGAAATTGTGGCTGCAAAAGCTTTGATATATCCCATCCATAACAATTCTCTCCCCACCAGGTAGTACTATGTAGTGAATTATCCACTGCATTGGGCTCCAAGCAGCTTGGCAAATACGCTGCTGTGATAATTCAGCAGTGTTGTGTGATTCAACACCACGGTTTACACGAATCATAGCCCTGTATAATGTGAAAGGGCCCTTGTTTTCCATTGTTGTTTGCTGGAACTAACTCAGCCCAAAGAATGCTCTGTCAGAAAGTTCTAGAAGATTCATCATCCGGCAAATCCATAGAACAATGGCACAGTCATAAAACCGGTATCATACTAACATAATTTTGCAGTGTGAGCACATCCCCAGGCAGTGTATAGAAGATGCCTGCAAGCAGCTACCAAAGTGTTTATGAATGCACGGTGAGACTTTTGCAACGATATTAAAATGCATACTAGTAAGAGATGAGCATTTCTTCCTCATCTTTGGAATGACACAAAGCCCTTTAAAGCATTGCTTTTAGAAGTGTTAGCAGCCAATTTAGAGACCAAGCCGACTCTCCAGGGAATCAAATCCTATTAAAATCAACAGGGATTACTTCTAAGCATGTCTAGTATCAGTGTACCACCCATATGGTAATGGTTCTATAGTGACTACAGGGGTAGCATGAAAACTTGGCAAATTCAGGGCCGGAACAGAGGTAGGATCAAACCACATTATATTACTCTCTCAAGATCACAGTTCCATTTACAATGAGAACAGCTGTCAATAATAGAGTGCCACAAGAGAACAGAAACAAATCCGAAGCCTCTCCGATTTCTCTTTCCAGCCCAAACATTAAACTAGCTGTCTGTGTGCCTGTAGGTGATCACATACCTTCCTCTTTCCCCCCTTGTAAACAGGTGCTAAGTTGGGTTGTTGTAGGTTTTTTTTTGGGCTATATGGCCATGTTCTAGAGGCATTTTCTCCTGACGTTTCGCCTGCATCTATGGCAAGCATCCTCAGAGGTAGTGAGGTCTGTTGGGACTAGGAAAATGGGTTTATATATCTGTGGAATGACCAGGGTGGGACAAAGAACTCTTGTCTGTTGGAGCTAGGTGTGAATGTTTCACTGACCACTTTGATTAGCATTTAATGGCCTGGGAGTTGTTTGGTGTGGCTTGGTAGTGCCTGGGGGAATCTTTTGTTGAGAGGTGATTAGATGTCCTTGTTTGTTTCCTCTCTGTTGTTTTGCTGTTGTAATTTTAGAGTTTTTTTTAATGCTGGTAGCCAGATTTTGTTCATTTTCATGGTTACCTCCTTTCTGTTGAAATTGTCCACATGCTTGTGGATTTCAATGGCTTCTCTGTGTAGTCTAACATGGTGGTTGTGAGAGTGGTCCAGCATTTCTGTGTTCTCCAATAATATGCTTTGTCCAGGTTGGTTAATCAGGTGCTCTGCTATGGCTGACTTCTCTGGTTGAAGTAGTCTGCAGTGCCTTTCATGTTCCTTGATTCGTGTTTGGGCAATGCTGTGTTTGGTGGTCCCTATGTAGACTTGTCCACAGCTGCATGGTATACGGTAGACTCCTGCAGAGGTGAGAGGATCCCTCTTGTCCTTTGCTGAATGTAGCATTTGTTGGATTTTCTTGGTGGGTCTGTAGATAGTTTGTATGTTGTGTTTCCTCATCAGCTTCCCTGTGTGGTCAGTGGTTCCCTTGACTTAAACTGGGCTCTACAGGCCAATGGATACTCCACCTCAGACATCAGAAGAGCTGCAAGACCAAGAACAAGCCACGAGAGTAAAGACAAAGATCCACCCAGAGGAAAAGTGTTCTTGCCATACATCAAGGGAACCACTGACCGCATAGGGAGCTGATGAGGAAACACAACATACAAACTATCTACAGACCCACCAAGAAAATCCAACAAATGCTACGTTCAGCAAAGGACAAGAGGGATCCTCTCACTTCTGCAGGAGTCTACCATGTACCATGCAGCTGTGGACAAGTCTACACCGAGGGACCACCAAACACAGCATTGCCCGAACACGAATCAAGGAACACGAAAGGCACTGCAGACTGACTCAACCAGAGAAGTCAGCCATAGCAGAGCACCTGATTAACCAACCTGGACACAGCATATTATTTGAAAACACAGAAATGCTGGACCACTCTCACAACCACCATGTCAGACTACACAGAGAAGCCATTGAAATCCACAAGCATGTGGACAATTTCAACAGAAAGGAGGAAACCATGAAAATGAACAGAATCTGGCTACCAGTATTAAAAAAAACTCTAAAATTACAACAGCACAACAGAGAGGAAACTATCAGGCACATCTAATCACCTCTCAACAAAAGATTGCCCCAGGCACTAACAAGCCACACCAAACAACTCCCTGGACATCAAATGCTAATCAAGGTGGTCAGTGAAACATTCACACCTAGCTCCAACAGACAAAGAGTCCTTTGTCCCACCCTGGTCATTCCACAGATATATAAACCCATTTTCCTAGTTCCACTACCTTTGAGGATGCTTGCCATAGATGCAGGCGAAACGTCAGGAGATAATGCCTCTAGAACATGGCCAAATAGCCCAAAAAAACCCTACAACAACCCAGTGATCCTGGCCATGAAAGCCTTCGATAATACAGATGATAAGTTATATGCTAATGGTAGCTACTCATTGAGATGTTACTATATTTGTTCTCATTGCCCCATTGCCCTTTAGATGTTTACTGATCAGCTCTGAAAGGAAAAGAATCCTAAAAATGATTGTGGGGGCAAACAAATGAGTCTAACCATTGTCCCCTTATGCTCTTGCAAATATTGTCCTAACGCAGGAAAATTGCTCACATGAACAGGGCCAATTGGGATCTAGAAACCAGCTTTCTTAACACAGTCCCCAGTTGCACAAATTCGACACAGACAAGGAGTCATAAACAGTTTTTACTCTGGTTATCACAGCCGCGCCTGGAAGCAAACTATTACGTCTCCAGCACTGCTGATACAACATGGCTGTTGGCAAACAAATAGTTATCCTATTATCAGCTTTTTGCCCCAAAGGGGATGGAATACATTGTGCAAGAAGGCTGGAATGGCAATTTGGCATCAGTGACCTGTAGAGGTTACATGCCGACGGATGCAACAAAATCCTGATGCGATTTGAAAGCAAACTATCGTGAAAGACACTTGTTGGGTGCCCAGCTTGTCGTTCTTATGGATCTGAAGGCCTGAAAGAGACAGGAAAACTCAACGCTAGGAAATGCTTTGGACCATTGTCAAGGTTTTTTGAAAACCACACCATCAAACTGGACATTTCAGGAGTATCTAACGCACTGGCTATGCTTCTTGGGTGGAGGAACACTGCTCTACACTCACATCCCTTTCTGTAATAGATAGCACCAGTTAGACAGTTACAGATCCAAGTCTTCCCATGAGAAAAGTGCACAACATTATCACACAGTGTTAATGTTAAGAGTTGAACTACACCTCCCATTGGCCTTAACTAACACTGCCAAGGGCCAGGGATTAAGGGAGTTGAAATCTAAAACATCTGGAAGGCACCACACTTCCAATAAAGAAATAAAAAGCGATTCCCTGGCTTTTTTCCAAACTTGATTAAGAATTATTCCTGCTAAGGAAAGTCTGAATTCTACTGGTATTCCCAACGAAACTCACAAAGTCAATGGGATTCAACAGCTGACTCAATGGGACTGTTTCAGTCAGATTCAGGAAAAGAGTTCAGGTTCTATTCTATGTTCTAGACCAAGGACAGGAATTGTGTGGTCTTTCTGGAAGCTGTAAAGACCACAAGTCCCAGCATTCCTCACCAATGTTTATAATGAGAGCTGCAGATCAGCAGCATCTACTCAAACCTGTTCTAGACGTTAATGTATATGTAAAAATAAAAATACCTGGGATTTTGGCGCCTGGTTGATCTTGTTTTCAAAACAACCTGTTCCTTGCCATCTACCCATTGATATACCTCTAATTGCAAAGTATTTGGTGCATTTTTAAGCCCCATTTCTGAATAATTAAAAGATCTCAACTAAAAGAAAAACACCTTTATGACCAAGCAACAATAATGATCCAGACATCCATTCTGATCCACTACCGTGCTTTCTGATGGCAGCAACAAGAGAGTGAAAACGGAAGTGCATAGAAACCACGCATAGTGTTTTCAAAGTTTCACTCATTTACAGTAGTACTTTGGAAAGAAAAAAAGAGTAACCTGCGCTAATGCAGATTATCAGCACAGCACTAACCTCCATATGAAGGAGATCATACAGGACAGGCGTGCTCGGTAGCCAACACACTCACACAGTCTGATGGAATGTGGACAAAGTTGTCCCTCCCCCCAGAAAAAAAAAAACATGGTCACAGGTAGACATTAAGAGCCTGCAGAATCATCTGCCGACAAAGTGGACAGTTACGCTGGTATATGCCCTGCTGCAGCAGGATTTCAGCGCATTGCTGGCAGAGGCAAAGATGCCGGCAGGGAAGCAGTAAGACTGTCTTTGTTTGGTCCTGGCAGATGACACACTTCTTCCGCTCCTCTTGCTCTTCGAGGAGCAGCCACGGATCGTCGTCCTCTTCCAGAGCATTCAGTTGTTCTTTCATCGCAGGTTTGGTGGATGATGTGCTTGGTCCTTCATCCTGAGGGTGTCCTGGTGCCACATTGCGTTGCGTGTATGGCCGCAGGTCAGCATCTGTCCTTAGCTGGTCTCTGTTGGCTCTGTGTCGGGAACGGGCTGCAGCCTGTTGACCAATCACAGGTGCCTCTGGCCTTCTAGGATGGGCCGCAGCAGGAAAAGCTTGCCTCTGAACCACACCAGCTACTTCCTGTCTTTCTTGATTGGCTTCCACCACAAACGGCTGCTCTCGTTCACCTTGGAGGTTTGCTCCTCTGGCAAATCTGTTCCAACTGGCCAACTGGAGGCTCCAATCAGCCAATCTGCGCCAGGTTTGCGACCTCAGGACCATATCCAGCAACAACATCACTTCCTGATAGAGACGATGCAAGTGCCTGAGCAAGCGGTGGTAAGACGGCATGGTGTTCAGGTAGTCCGACACCTGGCCCGCCAACGTCCGCGTCAGGTGAGGATTGAGGATCAGGACGCTGGCAGCAACTATCACGGACAGCAACACCAAGCCGTAAAGGTGCAGTAAAAATATATTAATTAGCAACTTACTCACGGAGGCCATGAGATCGAATGCCAGCTGGCAAGGCGTCCACAAGAGAATAGCCATCGCGATGGCGCTGCTGGAAAGGCGGGCGACAAAAGCGGCAAAGATATCTGTGACTCTCAGAAATGGGCCAGCAATCGTCTCCCAAAGCACCAGCCCCAGAGAGAAAAGGTTCTGGGTACCAATGAGGCAGATGTTGATGGTGCTGTTGATTAAGTAAGCAACAAGGCTCATGGCAATGGCACAGACTTCGCAGACTTGCCTCACCAGGGACTGGCCAGAGCCAACCAGGTTCCAGAAGCTTCGATGCATGATTTCTTTGCTCCTCAGAGTTATGTGGGCAAAGAGGTGGCCCACTAACTTCAAGCTTTCCATGGTGGAGCAGAGACTACGCAGCACATTGAACACAGTGTGCAGGGAGCCCATGGTCAGGTAATATGCCGCTTCTGCGATGCAGAGCAGAAACAGCCCAATACCGTTCCAGCACTGGATCACACAGGCCACCAAGGTGCTGGGCAGGTTATAAATGAACGCCACGAGCCAAACCAGAGCTGAGACCAAGGTCGAAACGAGGAAGAAGTTGACGTCCAGCAAGATCAGAGCAATGTCCAAAATCATCGCCATGCCATTGATGATCAGGAACACTAGCTCCATAGCTGAGGTGAAAAGGAAGAGACGCTGCAAGGAGGAAGACGAAGCAGATTGTAGACTGGAGTGAGTTGTGCTGATTCCCAAAAGACAGGTGAACAGAGTCCTATCTTTGATAGTTTTTTATGAAAAGAAATCCTTTGGCAATGAATTCGAAAGTGCCAGGCGCCCAGAGAAGATCTTTATATCCTTGGTATAATCTAGTTTTTATTTCAGGAGATGCTCCAGAAGGTGTCAGGCATCCATGCTGCTTGAAGTTTTGGTCCTTTATTCGTGACGTAACAGGAATGAATACTTTGGATAGCTAAAACAGTGAGTCCCAGGCCTTTTTTTGCTGCTGATCTTGCCATTCCCAAGAGCCACAGCAGTCACTAAAGAGAAAAGGAAGTGAGTTAAGTAGCTGTTTGTGGACTGGAGTAAGTGGCACTGGTTATCAAAGGCAGGTGAATGGAGTCCTCTCTATCTTAGCTACGGAAAGCCCCTTGTTCTTTTTACAAGAAATCCTTTGGAGATGAATACAGGGAGCATACAACTCCCATGTTACACCAGCTCCACTGGCTGCCAGTTTGCTACTGGGCACAGTTCAAAGTGCTGGCTTTGACCTATAAAGCTCTAAACGGCCCTGGTCCAAATTACCTGTCAGAACGCATCTCTCCCTATGAACCATCACGGAGATTAAGATCCTCCGGGGAGGCCCTGCTTTCATTCCCACCATTGTCAGAGGCATGATTGGTGGGGACGAGAGACACGGCCTTCTCGGTGATTTCTCCCCAGCTATGGAACTCCCTTCCTGGTGAGATCAGGAAGAAGCGAAGCAGACACAGCGAAATGCTCTGAGCTTCCAGACCCAGGTATCATACTATTACTGGATAAGGTTTAGGGTAAGGTTAAGGGTTAGGGTTTGGGTAAGGATTATGGTTAGGGGTTTAGCGTAGGGTAAGGTTTAGAGTTAGGATTAGGGGTTAGGTTCACGGTAAGGGTTAGGGTAAGAGTTTTACCGTTAATGAACTCTATAATATCTGTCTGTGACATGTTCTGTCCACATTGCGCGACGCGGACACAGTGTAATGCATCGAACTTCCAGACCCGGCTATCATACTATTACCTAAAGGCACTCCGTACAGTCATGCTGGCCACATGATCTTGGAGGTGTCTACGGACAATGCTGGTTCTTTGAAATGGAGATGGGCACCCACCCCCAGAGTGGGACATGACTGGACTTAATGTCAGGGGAAAACCCTTCCCTTTACCTATTTGCTCTCACTTTTGGCAAAAACAGTAAGGCTGAACAGCCTGTGACTGTTTTTTTTTTTCTGCTTCCCTGGAGACTAGGACGCGGAACAATGGCTTCAAACTACAATGGCTTCAAACTACTAGGAGCGGCTTAAGGAGCTGGGCATGTTTAGCCTGAAGAAGAGAAGGCTGAGAGGAGATATGATAGCCATGTATAAATATGTGAGAGGAAGCCACAGGGAGGAGGGAGCAAGCTTGTTTTCTGCTTCTCTGGAGATTAGGACAAGGAACAATGGCTTCAAATTCCAAGAAAGGAGATTCCATCTGAACATGAGGAAAAACTTCCTAACTGTAAGGAGAGCTGTTCAGCAGTGGAACTCTCTGCCCCGGAGTGTGGTGGAGGCTCCTTCTTTGGAGGCTTTGAAACAGAGGCTGGATGGCCATCTGTCAGGGGTGCTTTAAATGCAATATTCCTGCTTCTTGGTAGAATGGGGTTGGACTGGATGGGCCATGAGGTCTCTTCCAACTCTTTGATTCTATGCTGGCCAACTGACCTTGGAGGTGTCTACGGACTATGCTGGTTCTTAGAAATGGAGATGAGCACCCACCCCCAGAGTGGGACATGACTGGACTTAATGTCAGGGGAAAACCTTGACCATTACCTATTTGTTCTCACTTTTGGCCAAAACAGGAAGGCTGACCTGCCTGTGGGTTCCTGGCGAGGCTTGATGGAAGAAGAGGCCTCAGGGTCCCTAATTAACGCTTCCAATTAGTTCATTTGGGGTGTGGGGGAGGGGCCAGTCCCTCAGGCCTCCCCTCCCCCCAAGAGGGACCTCCTTAAGGTCAGTTGGAGCCAGTAAAGCACGGGAAAGGGGGCTTCTTCCCCTCCCACCCCCTTCCCCTTCCCCACAAACAAGGCCTTGGCCCACCTCGCCCGCTTCCCTCTGAGGCGAAGAACTTGGACTAACCCCCTCGACGGCGAAGCTCTTCCCTCCTCGCTCATGGGCGCCGACATCTTGGTAGGCGGGGCCACGCCCTTCCCCGCCCTCCAATCAGCGTCGGGGAATTCCAATTCACCCTCCCTCCTAGTTAGGCAAGAAAGAGGCACGTCCTCCAATCAGCATCGGGGAATCCGGTAGGCGGGACGCGCGTCGCCTTCTCATCCAATGAGCGTCGGGAATCTCCGTAGGCGGGGCTTTCGTAATTTGTTGATTCCCGCTTTCATCCAATCAGCATCGGGGAATCCTGGAGGCGGGGCGCCCATCAACCTCGACTCGTGATTCGTTCGCTTCTTGTCGCTGGCAAGGTTGTTTTCCTTTGGTTTTGTTTCCGTCCTCTGATTGGCCGGTTTTGAAAAAGGCTCGTGGGCGGTTGCCTTGGCACCGAGGGTGGGCGGGGTTGGTTGGAAACCCCGCCCCCTACTGAGTCCTCATAGACTCGAAAGGTTTGACCGTTAGAGACGTTAGTCGGTCACGTGATTATGAGTGGGCGGGGCCTCCATTCTGTCTCTTTACTTTCTGAGCAGAAATAAATAATAATAATAATAATAATAATATAATTAAACAAAAAATTAAATTAAACAAAATTAAATTAAAATCCAGCATATAGATCTCGTTTGCTGTGTCATACTGTGGTTCTGTGTTAGTAAAAATAATTTTAAAATCATAATAATAATAAAGAAAAAGAATAAATAAGAATATTAATAAGTAATAGAATAATAATAAAATAATAGCAAATAATAATATTACTACTAATAAATAATCCTAATAATAATATATAATTAATAATATAATTAATAATATTAATATTAATTAATAATAAAATATAATACATAAGAATACTAATATTAGAATAATAGTAACATATAATAATAGTAAATAATAATATTACTACTAATTATATATAATTAAAATAAATACTATAATTAATAATACATTAAAATACTAATTAATAATAAAATATAATGCATAAAAGTACTTAGAATAATAATAAAATATAATAATAGTAAATAATATTAAGAATAAATAATCTTAATAAATAATAATATATATAAAATTAATAAAAATAAATAATAATATAATTGAGTAATAAATAGGGATACTAATTAATAATAAAATATAATAATAGTAAATAATATTAAGAATAAGTAATCTTAATAAACAATAATATATATAAAATTAATAAAAATAAATAATATAATTAAGAATAATAAATATGGATACTAATTAATAATAAAATATAATTCATAAGAATACCAATAATAGAATAATAATAAAATATAATAAGAATAAATAATCTTAAACAATAATATATAAAAATTAATAAATAATAATATAATTAAGAATAATAAATATGGATACTAATTAATAATAAAATATAATTCATAAGAATACCAATAATAGAATAATAATAAATATAACAATAGTAAATAATTTTAAGAATAAATAATCTTAATAAACAATAATATATATAAAATTAATAAAAATTAATAATAATATAATTAAGAATAATAAATATGGATACTAATTAATAATGAGATATAATTCATAAGAATACTAATAACAGAATAATAATAAAATATAATAATAGTAAATAATATTAAGAATAAATAGTCTTAATAAACAATAAACAATACTATATATAAAATTTATAAAAATACATAATAATATAATTAAGAATACTAAATATGGATACGAATTAATAATGAAATATAATTCATAAGAATACTAATAATGCAATAATAATAAAATATAATAAGAATAAATAATAAGAATAAATAATCTTAATAAACAATAATATTTAAAAATTAATAAATAATAATATAATTAAGAATAAAAATTATGCATATTAATTAATTATAAAATATAATTCATAAGAATACTAATAATTGAATAATAATAAAATGTAATAATAGTAAATAATATTCCTAATAAGTAAGAATACTAATAAATAATAATAATACAAAAATAATAGAATAATAATAAAATATAGTAATGGTAAATAATATTACTAATAATAATTAAGAATACAAATAAAAATATATATAATAATACAATAATAAAATTAATACTAAATGATAATAAAATATAAATAATAATATACTGTAATATAAATAATAAAAATATAATAGTACAACAAAATATGACTAATAATTAGTAATATTAACAATAAATTATACTATTAATAAAATAGAATTAATAATAATAATAAATAAGAATACTGATAAATAATAATACATTATTTATAATTTTTATTATTATTATAAATTGTATTTATTTCCCGCCTCTCCAGGTGACTCCAGGATGAACCCGTTTTGGGATGAAAGTTTACAGTAGTGCGCCATGCCCTCTTTGCATGCTCATCCGTGAGGCCGAAACACCTATATCTCCTATTTACCTCCCATAGAGATCCCTCTGAGATACGCCTGAGTCTGGAATTGAGGTGGTATGTTTTTGTTAAAGGTCTGTTTTGGCAGATACATTCATAAACCGTGTTCTGACGCGTCTTCCGTTAAACCCACAGGGCGATTCGATCAAAGAGCGCAAAGGTCTCCTTTACGGGAGGAAAACTACAACTACAAGAATCCGAACATGTTCAAGGCTGAGTTGCAAAAAGGCACAACAAGAGCAATAGTAATTAACTGTACTTTTTATGTTTATGCTTTGCATCTATTATTTCTTTATCTTTCTAGCATTTGTTCCATGAATTTGCAAGGTTTGCTTGTTTGCGTCTTGTTCTCCACTTGTTCTTATGAGTCACATCTCTCGTTGTGAGCCTTGCTTGGGCCATGTCACATTTCAAGCGGTCAAGCCAGCGCATTTTAGGTCTGCCACGTGGCCTGGCACCTGCAGCTTCCATATTCTGCAAGGTTTTGGCCACAGAACCCTCGTCCCTTCGTTACACATGTCCAAACCATCTCAGGCGGGATTCCTTCATCTTCTCACCAATCAGATCAACTCCAAAGATGGAGCGCATTGTATCATTTGGAATCCTGTACTTAAACGCCCATTGACCAGCTGAGCATCTGAATTTCCACAATGTGCAGAGCTTACTCAACAGCCTTCGTGGTCGGCCAGGATTCAGTGGTGTATAGAGCAACCAGTCTCACCACAATCCTGTAGATTTTCAATTTTAGATGAATTGGGATCTTCTAATCCCACATTACGTCTGTCGTTCCTCTCCACTTCATGTGACATTTGCATGTCCGTGGCATATGCCAGTACGTCACCAGCAGAAGTGATCTTTGAGCCAAGGTATTTAAAGCTGGTCACTTTGTTGAAGTCAATGCCATCGATATTGATGGAGCCATTCTCTATCATTGGTCCACATTCCATAGAATCATAGAATCAAAAAGTTGGAAGAGACCTCGTGGGCCATCCAGTCCAACCCCATTCTGCCAAGAAGCAGGAATATTGAATTCAAATCACCCCTGACAGATGGCCATCCAGCCTCTGTTTAAAAGCTTCCAAAGAAGAAGCCTCCACCACACTCCGGGGCAGAGAGTTCCACTGCTGAACGGCTCTCACAGTCAGGAAGTTCTTCCTCATGTTCAGATGGAATCTCCTTTCTTGTAGTTTGAAGCTATTGTTCCGCGTCCTAGTCTCCAGGGAAGCAGAAAACAAGCTTGCTCCCTCCTCCCTGTGGCTTCCTCTCACATATTTATACATGGCTATCATATCTCCTTTCACCCTTCTTTTCTTCAGGCTAAACACGCCCAGCTCCTTAAGCCGCTCCTCATAAAGATCCAGGAGAACCAACAAGGACACACTTCCCCCATCTAGCTCTCTGAGTAGGTCATCCACCAAGGCGACCAAAGCTGTCTCTGTTTCATAGCCAGGCCTGAAACCAGATTTGAAATGGCTGTAGATAATCCGTATCATCCCGAAATCCTTGGAGTTGGGAGACCACCACATGCTCCAAGACCTGACTCAGAAAGGAAAGGTTGGACACTGGAAAGTTTAGGTGATCAACAACAATCTCCTATCTTTTTCTTAGGAAGTGGATTTATGATTGCAAGGAGAGCTCTTAGGTTGCATCTACACTGTCAAATGGATGCAGTTTGACACCACTTGAACTGCCATTGTTGTTGTTATGGCAGTTCAAGTGGTGTCAAACTGCATCGGTCATAGCTATTGAGAAAGGGAAAGTGAAAAGGGAATAAAAAGGGAAGGAAGGAAGAAAAAAGAAGGGAAGACGAAGGTCGAGAATGGAGAGAAAGAAGAGAAGGAAAGGTGTATGAGAGAAAGCAAGAGAAGAAAGGAAGAAGAGAGAGAAAGACAAGGTTTATGCGGGAAAATGAGGAAGACAAGAAAGCCACAAACACAATGGAAACCCAGGTATGCACGCTAGTGAAAGTATAAATACAAAGCAGCAACATGGATAATTTAATAAGCCGCAGAATCTCTGTGGAAACTAGAGAACATTTCTCCTCTGGCGATCAAAAGCAAGTAAGGAAGCGGTGTGACAGTTTATTTGCCCCAAACCAAAATAGAATCCTGTATTTTAAAACAATTCATGTTTTCCATCATTTTTGGAGGGGTTGGTTTGGTTTTAAGGTGAAAATATATACCATTTTGACAGTTCTTCAGAAGGAGCCAGGACCGGAGCTGTACAACATTTCACTGCTCCTAATTCATGAGATGTTTTGATTTCTCCAGAAGGCTATTTGCAAAAAGAAAAAAAAAGCTTTATATGCACAACATGCCCCGAGGAAAAGACCTGATATGGAAAGTCCCTTTCCCTGTTTGCTGCCTGGCTTTAGGACGTCTGGTGATTCAGCAGTCGGACTTATCTGGCATTCCTCTGGCCTCCTATCATGTGTACAGATGGCTGCTTGTTTAGGAAACCTGCACACACCTTTGCTGCCTGAAGTTGTGGAATGCAGGCGACTTTGTCTACCTGTTACATGAAAATGGCATTTTCCCAGAAAGTAGCACGGGCTGAAAAACAAACCCTAAAACATTTTACAAGCACACAAGTGACCAAACATCATGAGGCTGTGCTCAAGATGGCAAAAGTGATTTATGAGTCAAAATAC